CATCATGTTAAGAAGCATGCTAAATCTATATATGAAGCTGAAGTACATTTCAAAAAAATACAGGAAATGATAGGAAACAACCCAGTTTTTTATTCTAGATGAAACAACAGATGTGTTAAAAAAGTATATGCTGAACATTCTCATCAGTCTGTTAACAGGAAAATCAATATAGCCTATGCTGTTAAGTGTTTACAAACTAGAAAAGACAAATTCCAGAACTATTATGCAGGCTTCAATGATGTGTGTGCCAAATTGAGGAATTCTCTCATTCTATTTGAAAAACTTCTATTACTTGAAACAGACCGGGCACCATATATGCTAAATGTATGCTGAAATATAGTTGATGTATCTGAATCTGAGATATATCACTTGTTTTACACTTTGCCTTAGCAGAAATTAGGGTAGCCTTTTCTAGGGCAAACAATTTCATTTCAGAAATGAAAAAAGCTTTGATTAAATGTCCTAAAAATATACACTCATATATAGAAAGATAACTGGCTTGCCACTCCCAAAAGACACTATAATAACCAGATGGGGCAAGTTGATTAAAGTAGCCTGTTTTTTAGCCAAAAATTTCTCATCCATAGAACATTCGTTGATAAACTGGATGAAAGGTCTTCAGTGGCAGCAATGAAACTTGAAAGTCTGTTGAAACAAGAAGCCATATTAAAGGAACTCTACACTGTTCGTTTATACAAATTCCTATGCAGTTAGTTTCTAAACTTGAGGAAAACAGTCAATTCACTGAGAAGCAGTGAGATATTTTTAAATGTGACAAAAATCATTTGGATGGATTTGATTTAGAGAAACTTGAATACTCCTAGAGCAAAAATCTGGCTATTCAAAATATATAATTCCTGATTACTTTTCACTAAAGAAAACCAAAATATGCTCCTCTCACATCTGTTGATGTTGAGAAATTGTTTTGAAGTTCAAAGATTTACTTTCCTCAAGTTGTCTGTGGCTAACTATGAAAAATGTAGAATGATTGTGTATTTGCAAGTACTGTACAATGCTTTTCTGTTTATAAATTATGAAACTGATGGATCAAATTCCAAATGTGACTGATTCAATTTTCTGTTATTTCCTGCAGTTATACATGCTCTATATATACCTTTATACAGGATACTCTTTTTCTTGTTATTCTGCTCTTTAAATTTTTTAATTTATTGTTTAGTAGGTTTCCTATCATTTGTTTTGAGAAATTTTGTTAAGATTTTAATTTTCTTATCTTCTGTTAAATGATTTCTTTAGACATATTTCAGAGCAGTATTTATTGATATTTGTGTCATTGCTAACTTGATTTTAAAGATCAGACACCTGGCATCCAATAATTTGAACACTAATGAAAGCATTTAATTTTATTGAATCTGCTGGAACTATTATATAATAATGAAAATTCACACCATTCTCATATCTTCCAGCAGTTTCTGTTTAATAAACAAACATTTTTTGCCACATTCAAGGGACTGTGTCAGGTTAAACTTATATGAAATTAAACATCTCTAGTGAGTTTGAAGTTTGGAAAATCATTGATCTTCTTTGATGTCATTATTTTTAAAATTAAATCTAGTATATTTATGTAAATATTAATATGGTTTTAATAAAATAATTTGAAATATTTGCCACAACATTTAAAGGAAGCTGCACTATAAATAAAATCAAAACCTTTAAATAATCCAGCAAATCGTTTTTTAATATCTTTATCTATAACTTGCAAAGAAGGGGAAATCAGAACAGACATATACCGGAAACCCACTTATCTTCCTATCGTCATTCCTAGGAACTCCGCAGACCCTGAGTATATAAAAATCGCCATTTTTTGTTCATGGATAATGAGGGCACACACTCATTGCACCAGCATCTGTGACACATACAAAGAATTGGATTATATATGAAAAGTAGCAATACAGCAGGGATACCGTAGAGAAAGAATAGATGCTCTCATTGCGAATTGTTGGAAGCGCCACCCCTCTCAGGGAGGGAATCAGCGTAAAGAAAGAGTCGTGCTTAATTACATACCGTTCCTCAAAGGAATGGTTAAAAAAATTACCACAGATAAGAACATACAGATAGTTTACAAGTGTAATCCCACCGTATACAGGCTCTTAAGGAACGATAAAGGCAGTTACGAACGCAACACGATGGCAGGGGTATACTCAATACCATTAAAAGACCGTAGATTTAATTCTAATTTGGTATACATAGGCACAACCATGAGAAACTTAAAGAAAAGAATTGCTGAACATAAGCACTCGGTAAATAAAAACGTAGACTCTACGGTGCTTGCTGCCTTTGCCAGGCAACAGAATATTGAGGTCTTTTGGGATCGGGCGTTGATCATTAAAGCTACAAGATCCAGGCAGGCCATAAAACATCTGGAAAAACTAGAAATTCACAAAGCGCACTTGCACACAAACTGTATTAATCATAGGGATGCTGACGGATTGTCATCGGCATGGAAATCCTTCTACGATGAGTTGACGTAGTTTATGTAAGCGGGAAGAATAATTAAGATAATTTTTACTGAATGTATGTATTTTATTTTATTTTATTTCTTTGTTTTGATTTAATTAACTTGTATAATTTTTGCAATTATTTAAACTTGGTAAATGTTAACGTACATTTATGTAACCGCGTTTTGAATTTTGTTTTACATAATTTCGAATTCTTCGTTCGATTCAAAATGATAACTGAGGATGATCGCTTAAAGCGTTCGAAAGCGTTTTTAAGATATTAAAAAACGATTTGCTGGATTATTTAAAGGTTTTGATTTTATTTAAAGGAGGCTGCATTTACAGTAAAGAATTCATATCCATATCCATGGCATGGCATTCAATAATAGATAACCCCTTAAAAACAACAGCAACCAATAATATCTGCAATAATATAAATCCACATTTAGCCGGATAGTTTTAATTTTTTGCTTATATTATATGTTAGAGGCATTTTTAATATGTTTGTTCATATTTATTCATTTATTTTGTTAAAACTGTATTTACATACATTAGTGGCTAAAAGTAGAGCTATCCTTGACATAGGTTTTAAAAATGTGACCTCTATTTTGTTCACCACCTCCTACATAATTAATATTGTGATAGTTAAAAAGTGCACAAAAAAAGAGTCAAAATACTCAATTGAATCAAACAGATTTTATCTTAAATCTGGTTTACAAAAGAAAAAACAAAGTTTTTATATATTTACACTGTGTCAAAAGTAGAGCTACCAAAGGAAGTATGCAGATTTGTCCAGTATTTTTATGAAAAAATATTAGTATTTTGTGGCATAACCACAGCTCCTGATCACTGCATCACGTCTAAGTTCTATTGAATCAATTAAGTTGTCAAGCAGTGATTTGGGAGTCTCATGCCATACTTTTTGAATGGTAGACCACAATTCATCTAGATTTGAATATGTACGTTGGCATATATGGCACTCAACTTCATCTCAAAGATTCTCTATGGGGTTTAGGTCTGGCAATTGGGCTGGCCATGTCATAAGATTCACCCTTTTCTGATAAAACCATTGCTTTACCAAATTTGCTGTGTGTTTTGGGTCATTGTCCTGTTGGAAGATCCATTTCTTTGGCATTGAACGACGTGCATGAGGAAGCATTTGATTCTGCAATGTGTCCTGATAAACAGTTTGATCCATTACTCCATTAATTCTATGAATTGGACCAATTTCCTTTCCAGAGAAACATTCCCATACCATTATGCAGCCACCACCATGCTGTATTATAGGAACTATGTATTTTGGGCCATATCTCATGTTCACTGGTTGTTTGACATATCATATACCATCACTAGAGAAGACATTGAATTTAGATTCATCACTCCATAACACCTTGGGCCATTTTTGTTCGGTCCAAGTGATCATGTGCAAACTCTAATCTCAACTTTTTGTTTTTTTCAGAGATGAGTGGTTTCTTTGTTATTCATCTCCCATGTAATCCAAAACTAGTCAAATGTCTTCGTACAATCCTTAAGCTTATATCTGGGTTACCCAGTTCACGTTTAATATGTGAAGCAGTCAAACAAGGGTTGTCTGCACTCGTACTACATCTGATCAAATGATCCAACTATGGTGTTGTTTTTTGTGGTCTACCTGACTTTTTGGCAGAAACAATAGTCCCATATACAGTTTAACCCTCTTACAATGTCATCCATGGAACCAGCAATTTTTTGACTTATAACCGAGAGTCATTATCTGCGGGGTCATAATTTCAGTCCCATAAAAGTACCAAGTGGTTTAAGAATCTATTATAAAATCCATTCTAATTTAACATCGTATGTATTACAGTAGAGCCTCGAAAACTTGACCTAATGTGGACTGAAGTGTGGCCGAGTTTGTGAAAATGCTGGGTTATCGGGAATGGGGTTAAAAAAGGACAAGTATGCATGTTTCCTCAGAAAATATTGTACTGTACTTGTACGTATTGTTTGCTTGAGAATACAACAGAGAATAAACTGCCCAAATACCCTTAAACAAAGGAAAAGTATGTCCTTTATGAAGGNCAATTATTTAAACTTGGTAAATGTTAACATACATTTATGTAACCGCTTTTTGAATTTTGTTTTATGTAATTTTGAATTCTTCATTCGATTCAAAATGATAACTGAGGATGATTGCTGAAAGCATTTTTAAGATATTAAAAAACGATTTGCTGGATTGTTTAAAGGTTTTGATTTTATTTATAATGTAGTTCCAGTAAGAAAGTGTTTTATTTATTTATGTAGATTAATTCATCTTGAAAATATCTGAGCCAGATCGGACTCAAACACTTATCCAGAGTGATGGTTCAGTGCCGACATCCAAGGCCTATTGCCTTGGATGTCGGCATGTTCAGTTGGACTCGGACCTGTGACCTTTTGCTCATTATATAGATGCTGCTACTCCACAAGTGTTTTGACGGACTTCTTTACTTTAATGAGTGTTTTTTAAAAAACACTCGTGAAAGTGAAGAAGTCAATTAATAATTTATGTATTTCCACAAACAGTTTTGTGAAGAAACCGAAAGAGAGTTTTTTAATAAGAGTGTGGATAAACTTGAAAATGATGGATGTAAGGAAGAAAGGATATTGCAAACTGATTCCGACGAAGACAAGACGGACGAAGATATCTCAGATCTTTTAGATCTCTTAGATGACGTAGAAAGTGAAGGTATATACCAATTATACTTTGCATTTAAAAATCTTTTATTTGAAAACAATATATCTAATGTAATGAAGTTACATTGGCATTGCTGATTTACTTACTCTATAACATGAAATCTATATAATTACGTGAAACCAATTGGCGAGTCTTAATAAACAAACAATACAGCAGATTCTTATCAGATTATAATATGGCTAATTAATTATTAATTAAGCCACCATCTTACATTAAATTTAATAATTAGAAACAAATTAATTTAGAATATTTTGGAAGAAAAGAGTAGTGCTTATTGAGACTCTAACCCACTCTGGGTCAAACTTTTCTCGATTGTCGATCAATTAACAGATGTTCAGAGTGTTGGAATGCCACGCAAAGTGCCAGTGTCAGACTGCCAAATATGATCAATGATGGAGTCTCTAGTGATTGTATGATTTGAAACGTGTAAAAAGGACAGACTAATTCTATAATGATACAAGTTCTTTTGCTCACAACAGACCTTTCCTTGTAGGCAGCCATTGAAGATCAAGTTTTATCTCCCGCACTGATGAACTTCTGCCAGAACTGTTAGTCTATCATGCTAAGATGTGTAATAAGGCTAACAGTCCTGGCTGTGACAGTTACCTACAATGAAAGCTCTATTGTAAGTGAAAGCATTTTGTTGTTGTGGAATTATTTTGTCACTTAAACATGTTTCCTACACACAAAAATAAATTTTGTACTAAAAAAGTTAAAAGGAATTGACTCTGTGATTTTTTAATATAGAGAAATGTTAAGAAAAATTAAATGAACAAAATGAATGTGATGTAGAATTAGATGCCGTGAGACTAAATACAATCGCCGCTAGAATGAAAAACTGAGAACTTTATTTTGAGACGGTAACAGAACTGTTTTAATTTAAAATAGTCTGTAAAAGACTGAGATTTGAAGAGTACAAAAGGAAAGACACAGGTACAAACATAAATTTAATAACAATACGATAACAATTAAACGTGTTTATAAAACATTTCACTCTGATGTCATTACAACTTTGAAATTCTCATATTTAAATTGAAAGCTTTGAAAATAATGAAGTTAAATCACTTTAACTACTGATTTTCCATCAACTGGCAGTTTGACATTTCCTTTAAGGGGGATAAAATTATGACTCTATACAAAATATCCACGATGGCCAAAGTTATTTACCATGCTACATTGCACTCGTGTAAATTTATAAGAAAAATAACTTTCTAACAGTTTGTGACATCTTGGAGACACACGAGAGGCATATTTAATGGGTAAGGAGTGTATCGTTTAAAGATTATTATGGGTTATATAATAAAATATAATCCGCCTTAATCCTTTTAACTAATTTAGTTTTAACAAATGTGAACACATTGAAATTATGAATTTAACCAATGGAAACTAATTCTTCAATTTGATATTTTATAAAAACTTTCGAGCCAAATCTATAAAATCTAACTAAGTTTTAAAATGTATTTTGTGTACAGAACACGTGGAAGTTGGCGAAGATTACACAAAAGCACTAAAACAGCATTTTGGATACAGTCACTTCAGGCCGTAAGTATAATTTTTTTCATATGAAATAACAATGCTAAATTGTTAATGATTATGACTTCTTACTAGCTTGCAATGGGACATAATAAAAGAAACTTATATTAATAGAAGAGATAGTTGTGTAGTAATGGCAACTGGTAAGTTCGTATTCTTATATTTTTTTAATTTATAAATTCTTATTCTGGAAATAAGGTGGTTTCAAAAGTAAAATATTGAAAATATTTTGTACGTATATTGAGCTGGATATCTACTGGAGCAATTTTGCCATGTAATTTGAATGTTTTCTGCAGTGCACGCGTACATTCTAAAAAAACAATGTCTGAATTGCGGGTTTATGTCAGGTTTAGACCCCTCAACTAGGCACATCTTTGATGTGTGAATTGGATGCAGCTAATTGGTGACAATTAATTGTAATTAGTATACTGTATTATGTTGTGTTTTGTTTGTGGGAATAATGAAAATCTAAGATTACTGAAACACAACACATCCCGCGACAAAACACAAAAGTAACTTTCTTTGCTAAATTTGATAATCTGTATCAAATTGACTGGCAAACATTTTTAATTGCGCACATATTGGTAAATAAAAATAGCCGTGAACTCATTTTACATTTAAAAACAGTATTGATAGATTTCGTGTATCCCAAAATATTTTTTATGTTTCTCAGTTTGGCAATTCCATTCTTAGAGTCAAAGCAGTCATCCAAAAGGACTTATAAATATGTGAAGCAAGGGAAACTGGGACGTTACGTCAGACAACGGCCCGTCCAAAAGAACTGATCTTATTTACCCGTCTTGATCTGCCAAAATGAAAAGGATAAATTGAGGACTTTATTTTGGTATCAGAAAAGAAATATGTATGAAGAAATATCTCAATATGTCATTTCTCCACTCATTGAATAAACTATTTTAAGTTTATGCTTTATTAATGCATTAAATTGATGATATTTCAACGAGCCAATTAAAATTATGGCTCTTTTTATCTTTTTAAAATGAATAAACTGCTTGCAGTATCACTTAAAATCTGTTTGAAAAACTTTCTACATTGCTGTATTAGACTTTTACATCACACTCAACTATAATATAATGCAGTTATCTTGTTCCTAGAAATGGTATTTTAAGATGAGAACTCCATCTTAACATACATAATCTTACAAAAATTAGGTGTAAGCAGAGATAATTAAAGCAGCTGTATCAATATTTGAATTGACTGTCAGATTTTTCTGTTGCGATATATAAATTACAGCCAGAAATATGTACAGTACTGTATTAAAATCTTTAATGTCATGATCCAGAATGTAGTCATAATTAGTTATTCGACACATCGTTATCTATCTACGAATTGTTAATTAAACTTTTGATATTACAGTTTTTAAAAGAAATTTAACCATTGCAGGTTCCGGAAAAAGTCTGTGCTATCAGTTTCCGGCAGTTCACAGTAAGAAGACTGTTGTCGTAATATCACCATTAATTTCTCTAATGGAAGATCAGGTTCTGGCGATGAAGTGAGTAGATCGTTTCCTAATTCAAAGAATTTAATTACAGGTATACCTCGACTTACGTCGTTTTGAGTTACGTCGTTCCCGATTATACGTCGTTTGTCAAAAAAGTATACGGAAGAATAAAAATCAAGTTTAAGTCATTTTATTTGACTTTACGTCCGTCCGCCACCAATATTGAAGTCGTAATATCACTAGAAAAGCGTTTAAAGCACATAAAATCATATTAAAATATATACATTTACAAGTATGTACTGTATTTACAGAACAATACATGCATTTGTAAATTTAGATTACTTTTTTCTGTACTCTATTAAAAACTGAAATTTATATGTTTGTAAGCTTAAAATAGATTCTTATTAAACCATATATTATTAAAAATGCATTAATAAATAAAATACAGAACTGGGAATAGTAATTTATGGTTTAGCCTAGTGACAAGTAGATTCGGAGACAAGTAAATTCGACTTATGTCGTTTTTCGACTTAAGTCGTTTTCCTGAAACCAATTACCAACGTAAGGCGAGGTATACCTGTAACTTTAAGAAAGAAAACTTATGTTCTGATGAAAAAATTTCAAAGACTAAAAATTCTCTGATTTATGATGGACCCTTAGCTGCTTTCAGAGCAAGAGTGCAACTTAGGCTCTCTTGTCATCCGGGGCAAACTGTTATCTTGATGTCCTCTCTCGTGTTTTGGAGGTTTAGGATGTCAATGCAGGCGGATGCAACCATGTAGGTAAACTAAGCTGCCATATACGGTGGTACCACGATGGACGGATTTTTAAGAAGTTTAATGCTATAAGATGATTGAGATAAACTATACAACAAATAAATAGAATGGAACACATTATTATTTATTTTAAAATACTCAAATTTAAATTTCAAATAGGTTCTTACAAAGATAACAGAATCAACTTGTACATTCAATTTGTTTAAGTTGTGACTGTGGATCAATAAACAAAGTAATTTTATAATTTTGTGACTAAATTTCAATTCATTTGACATTAATATCATATTTTTGTGAAATGATCAGCATGCCGGTCTTCTGGGGAGACCATGAAGTCAGATATTTCTCTATGGTAAAAACCGGCATGTGGTTTGTCCTGGGGAATGCCAGCATTCCAGTTTAGGTAAGGTTATACATCCCTCTCTAGAGTGCATTAAAAAAAAGTGTGTTTTACTGTTATTTTATTCGAAAATGCAAAAATAAGCATACTAAACTTTAAAAAAACTCCCTGTAAATTATCTCTGCTTACACCAATTAACATCTGCTTTGTGTTAAATATGAGAGGAAGGTGTTATTATTTTAAGGTTGGGGGTATATGATCAGTGTAGCCCAGTAACTACTAACTTACTAACTACTACTACTGCTAATGTCAATAAGTCATTAATTGTTTTATTGTCTTGTAAATGAAAACGCTCTTCCTGATTTTAAGTCGGTCAAACTACAATGGTATTATTTTATTGTATTTGGAAGAATGTTTTCTTTAATGTTTAATTAGCAACTAGTTTTGTTACATCTGAATCTGATTAATTTTGTAATTTAGACACAATTTAACTGGCATGCTATTAACCCTAGGGTTTCTTGCATGCTGGTCGTCCCCATTTTTATGCGGTGTGCTGATCATTCCACGAAAATACGGTAATATTTAACATTAATGATACAAATCTAGTATTTGGACATAAATTTACATTAACATTTTTTCCTTTTATTTTCTAACATCTAACATATCCTGGACAGACTGTTCATAAAAATTTTCTGGGGCATTGCCCTTCATGGTTCATTCTGTATTGGTTTCTAGAGTTATCTTAATGATGTTTTCATTTCAGTGTAGCTAACATCCCGGCCTGTTACTTGGGATCAGCTCAAAATGAAAAGAAAGAAGTAATGTCCAAGCTGTATAAGTAAGTTTGCTTCCAGTGTTTTGGTTTTAATAAAATATAATTTATTTTTTAAAGTAAAATATTTCATTAATACATGGTAAAAATTAATTTTTAAAACTAAAAGTAATATTTCATAAATCTATCAGAGATACTTACTTTATTAGAGTCAGAAATTAACATCATCCTGCATGTTTAGGACTGATTTAAGTCTGATTTTAAGTCTTAAAACTTTTCGAAAAATTCAAAACATTTAAAAAGTCTGGAACAAAATATTACAGGTGAAAGCAAGTACAAATTATTTGTAATTTTTTTCTGAGGTTTCCATTTCTGATTTGTCAATTTTCTTGAATGACACTTATGACACTGTTGCGAGCAGTGGTTGGTCCTTGATGAAAGAGACTATGTTAGACAGATTAACAAATAAAAAAAGGCCCACTTATTAAAGAACATAAGGATGGTTACTTGGTTACCAACTTACAGATAGTGTGAGCTACAAGTCTTACAGTGTCTAACAATTTTTATTGGCTCTAGGGAGTTCAATGGACATCCATATTGGTGAATCAAGTTGATGGCTTCGTCGGATTTCAATCAATCCATTTTTTCTCGAGATTCTTGGACTGCAGGATCACTTATGGATGATAGGGCTATTTGACTTAGAGGAATTAAATGTGTTTTCCAGTAAGCTCTGAACTCTTCTAGTTTCAATTGCCAGTCTGCTTCCACTGTTAGCACTCTTTCATACAACGTAAGGAACTCTGCACTCTATTTTTTTATGTTGGAAAATCTAATCTTTTACTTTTTTGCTTTGTCCAATCACTTGAAGAACCAGACCATAGTTAGTGTGTTATCCATTGGCTCAAATGACTTTACATCATTCAAGTAACCTCTTAGTTGGCTTCGCATAGAAAAGTATCTGACAGACGGGTGCAGAGAGAGGAGCTGGGGATTTTCCTCTGAATCTAAAGAAAACTTAGGAACTGTAATGGTTTCTCTACTCACTACTATTTTTACTAAAGCCCTGGTCACACTATGCGATTTCTAGCCGCGCAGGCGACTGCAACTGCAACTGCAACAAGCGCGTGTCTTCTCGTGGTCACACATTGTTTGTTGACGTTGCAACTCGGAAACACGTGGCCCTATAATAAACCAATAAAATTACAGTAGCTTGTTTTTGACTACTTTTATGAGTTTGCCGATATTTTACGTTCTACTTCAGAGTATTTACGGAATTTTAGCCACTTTTCTTATTAAAATAGCAAGCAGTTCCTTTTCTGGAATGAATAAAAGAAAAAAGGCGATTATTTTAATAGAGTTGGCGAAAATACATGAAAAGATAAAATCTTCGATAAAACGAAGAATTAAAATCCCACAGGTATTTGTGAGCCTGAATAAGCTCGATCAATCTCGATTCTGTAAAAGTATTAATCCTCTGATTATCCGCCATGATGATGAACTATTTTCAATGTTGTCACTGTATGACGTGGCATAAAGGTGTTTGTTGATTGGATGCGTGTTTGCAATCATCGCGAGTAGAACAAACTTTTTGTTTCTAGTTGCGATTGCAGTCGCGCCGGTTTTCGAGGGGGATTACTAGTTAACGGGAACAGCCGTCGCGGTTGCAGTCGCCTGCGCGGCTGGAAATCGCATAGTGTGACCAGGGCTTAACAGATAAAGTTTGTAAGATTGCATTTTATTATAAAGTAACATTTTACATATTTCGTTTCTTCAAAAAACCAAAGGTTAAAGGGACCTGTTCTGTCCCAGGCTCCATACAAGCTCTCGACAGCCCAGTGTGGGCAGTCATTGCCAAGATCTCACATTTTTAGATATTCTTTACAGCTACAGGAACATAATTAAAACATAGTGGAGTTTACTTGTTGTTTTAGGTTTTTTTTCTACCTAAAGTATGTAAAAATTGCTTTTAGTCCTTCCAGTGTTAGATTCTTAGAAAATTTGTTTTAAAAAATTCAAAAATAATTTAAGAAATCTGAAACAGTATTCATGAATCCGATATTGGAATGAACAAAATCAGTTCTTCCGTTTTGAAATTCTGAAAGTTATCGTATTTACCAGGGCTTTGGAGCAGAGCTGGAGCATGGAGCAGGTGGAGCAACAGATTTTTACTCGGAGCAGGAGCGAAGCTAGAGCGTGGAAATTTGTAGTGCTCTGCTGCTTCGATATATATTTATATATATTTTTAATACTTGAGCCAGTGAGAATGGAAATGGCATAAGTCATAAAATTTAAAAGTTGAGTTAAGTCCATGTTTGAAGTCCTCTGACATAGTTCCGTTTTGTTTAGAACGAAAGTGACTTTAGTCATTAGTACAGAAATTCACCACTAGAAGAAGCACTAATATTCATTTCGTACATTTGATTTTTCAATAACAGTTTTAACAAACCATTAAATATTAAATTAAATTAAAATTATTTTTCATTGTTAAGTTTGCAACGCTGATATTATTTAACATGTGGCAAACTTGCCAAGCGATACATATCCTCACTATTTTTGCATGTGCTTGGTCGTGAACGTGACAGTCATTTGTTTCTGTTTGCAGTCGGTTTGATATAATCATAATTCGTAATTTGTTTGCAGAGATAAGATTATTATTATTTGGTTATTTTGTATGCACGGATATTTATATGCATTATTTCTCAATTAATAACACTTAAATATTTGATTATTTAACTATCACCCATGATAGACAGTTGATTTACGGAAGATGAGCTTAACGAGATATTTGTATTTGAATCTGATAACGGGAAGAAGTCAGTTACATGCAAGATGGAACACATTGTAAATGACGAATCTGTACGATTCAACTTCAAGCGAAAAAGTTCAGTCTTTGGCATCATGTGAAACGTAATCATCCTTAAATTTACGAAGAGTTAGTTAAAAAGAAGGATCAAGACAAAGCCGCTGTGAGAAGAAAACATAAACACAAAAATTTTACCATTGCACTTTCATGTCATAAGAAGTGCAGAACTGATCAACTAAAAATTGATACATATTTTATATCATCGAAGATTACAATCACTATGGATAGTAATACTTTCTGTGAGGGACTTGTTGAGATGGTTTTATGAGTATGATACCACTCACTATATTCACATTAAGTAACAAAGGATTCCGAAAGATTGCTAGCAAAATGGCTCATAAGCTTGGTGTATCGACAGGACATGATGCTGTTCGTCATTTAGTAATAAGCACAGCAGAGTCTGCTCGCATCAATCTAAGACAAACTTTAAAAGGATAATTATGCTATTTAAAGCTAGATGCTGCAACCCGTGGAAATAGAAATTTTTTTGTCATCAATTTTGGAATGAAAAAAAATGAGAAAACTGAAATAAAAATATTGGATATTGTTGGTACTGAAAGAAGGCATAACTCTTTATATGTGAAAAATCAAATTAAAGAAACTTTGAACAAGTTTGAAATCGATGAAAAACAAGTACTAAATATTTGTGTAGATAATGCAATGAGCATGACTTGTGCTGTAAATAAACTTGGCAATCATAAAAACATTTCCAGGATAAAGAATTTGAAAAAACTGAAGACATCAAAGAAATAAGTGTAGATATTTCACAACAGTGGGTTAAAGATCCTTCCCTAATATCACCAGTGGACTAATGATAATTTAACTAAGGAGGTGTGGCATTCACACTCTTCAACTGGCCATTTGAGATGGATTAAAGAATGAACAAATAACAAAAATATTAGGGAAAATTCGACAGGTTGTGGTAAAATTACGAACGCCAACAATTCGTAATGTTTTGCTGAAAGTGTATTGTAAAACTCAATCCGTAGATACAGTAACAAGTTGGGGTTCTACCATGTCATGCTTGATAGTCTTCTTTTTTTCAAAGACTACAGCAACCAAGTAGCTGCTGCCGGGACAAAAGACCTAGAACTTAGCAAAGCAGAATGGGACAAAGTAAAAGATATCACAGCTGTTTTAGAAAAACCAAATATTTCGACAATTGCCCTTCAAGCTGCCAATCTTACTCTGGGATGTTTATGAAAGAATGGTGTAAACTAGAAAAATGTATGGAAGAATTTGGAGGATATGTTGTGTTAGGAATTCTGTTGTCCTCCATGAAACAGCAGAAAGAAAAGCTTCTTCAAAACACATTTTCTTGCTGGAGTGTATGTTGATTCTAGGTATAGAATCTTATTAAGTGCGGCAGAAAAACTAAAAGTAAGAAAAGGCATTTCAGACATCCAATGGCGAATCAAAAGGCAAACACTAATTGATTTGGCTGAAAAGCCTGCAATTGTTGAGCTGTCACAGCCAACCTGTAATATAATAAATATAGATTCGGAAGGTGATGATTTTGAAAAAGAATTGGATAGAAGAGAAAACAGTCATCAAATTTCCACTATACATAATAAAAATGACAACAAAATAGAGAAACATATTGAGAAAGACTGCAATGCAATAGAAAATGTGGGGAGATTAAAGATGAATGTATTCGAAGCCATTGACCATTATCCGGAGCTCATCAGAAAAGCATGCAGAGTCGCTTCAAGCATGCCAACTTCTCAAACAAGTGTTGAGCATCTATTTTCCATATTAAGAATAATTTTAAGNTTCCCCAATCAGAGCCCGAGAAATACATCAGATGACAAATATTAATTCAATATAGAGCATCGAAAGGACAGAGCCAAACATAATTGTCATGGCATTACATCTCAATTTTCTATATAAAGCCATTATAAAAACCTTAATTCTATACAAATTATTAAAATTCTCCAATAATTTTATTTCTGTCATATGTTTTTTCATGTTTCCATCCCCTCCTCGTATTCTCCTTCTGCTTCCTCTTATATCTATTTTAAATACCTTTATCCGTAACACCCTCCATAAATGAAACTGTTCCATAATTTGTGGATTTCTTTTCTAAATTGTCATTAATTCTATTACTTTGTTTCTTTATGTAAATACGTCCAAATAATTGTCTTTTAGATTTTTTTTCTGCCTTTATTTTTATTGTATTTAAATTAATTTCACAAATTTACAATGAAAGTTTAATATTTTATATAATATTGTATATTATAATATTTTATATAATATTGTATTTAATAGGAAAATACATTGAAATTTTGATTTGGCCACAAGAAATGGTTGGCAGTTTTATTTTGCAATTTTTAAATCTCTAGCTTCTTACATCAGTATTAAATTATCACAGAGGAGTTCATAATTCTTTCAGAAAATTGGTGTTTTATTGCAAACAGTTTTTTAGCTCCTTGTTATAAATTAATTTTGTTGAAAGTATCTTATTGCATACTTTAAAGTCAGTATAAAATATTAAACTTTCATTGTAAATTTCGTTATTTACTAAGGATCTAAACATAGATTCTTTTTTAAATATAACTATGTAAAATTGTCTTTAAAAATTCTTCTGACATCAGGATTTTGTAAAAATTGGATAACAATAAAAGCAGTTTTATATGGGATTGATTTAAAATATAGTTTTTTGACTTTAAACTTTGTTAATTATGTTTTTAAACATTTTGCAAATACATGAAATGAATGCAACTTTTTAAAGATTTTTAATATATAAAATATTTACAGAAATGAAGATATCTTGCACTTGTTATCATGCTGGAATCTCGATCACCGAAAGGAAACTAGCTCATAGAAAATTCGTGGATGATCGTGTGGACGTAAGTTACTTTTACTACATTTATAGATGTTTCAATGCTTGTTTTTACCATTAATAATTACTTTTTGTTAATATTTATAAAATATCAAAATTAAATTAGAAAAAATGTTTCACGACAGGTAATCGTAGCGACGGTGGCCTTTGGCATGGGCATCGACAAACCCGACGTCCGTCGCGTCATACATTATGGAGGTACTTTTTCTTTAAGTATTTTTTTTTTTTTTTCATAGCTTTCTTTTATGAATTAAAAATTTATTCTGTATTTTGGAAATGTTTTACATAAAAGTGTTTTTATATTTTTAATTTTAGCTCCAACGGACATAGAATCCTTTTACCAGGAGGCAGGTAGAGCTGGAAGGGACGGATTAAGAAGCATCTGCCAAATATTTTATTCTCAGGGAGATTTTGGACTTTCCATGTAATAATAACAATTTAAAATATTATTTATTTAATGAACACTGACTTTCTATGCATAATTTTTACACTAGAAGTTTTTTGTCAAATTTTTAAATGGGTCAAAAACCAGAATTTAAAACTGTAATATTTATTTATGGACAAGTATTCTTTTATATCACTGATGACAAAGTGCATTGCAGGTCTGTACAATTCTTTATAGGTTGCTGTAAAAGTGTTTTGTTTATGGCAACTAAAGAGGAATTGCACGGATCTGAAAAGGTTTTTGCTATTGATGATTAAAACCTGTTTGGAGTTTGACCATTCATGATTCAGCCGAAAGATAGATCATTAGGCCTGTGTCTTTTGTGAAGATTTCATTCTACAAATAATCTGTCTTTAGATCTTTGAATGTAACCTAATGTTTACATTTGAAATAATCAATAAAAAGCTGTTTTAATTCTGAGATTCGTGACTGGTTTAGAAGTTTGACAAACTAAAACTTCCAGTTGTTATTAGGGAAAAATTAGTAATAATTTATAAATGGAAAGACAAAATTACAAATTTTACTTACGTGTTTTAGGTTTCGTCTACAAGAAATTACAAATGATAAGTTCTGTGATCATAAATTAAACATGATTGAAAAGATGAAAGAAGTCATTTTGACTGGTAATTGTAGACGTCAGCTTATACTGAGTTATTTTGACAAGAAGTGGAACACTACCAATAAGTCGAAACCATTTAAAAACTGTTGTGATAATTGCACCAAGAGGTAAAAAATTAAATTATTTTATACTTTTGATGCTTTACTCTTTTTGAAAGCCAATTTAAATTTCTTGATTAGGAAATATTTAAACAAAATGACTCTATACTAAAAAGTACAATAAACAGAAATATAATAAAACAATACACAAATTCATGGAGATGAAATAATGATTAAACCATTAAAGATAAACATTATTGAAGGAGCTAACCTTTGAGGTTACTTCCTTAACACGTTCTTGGTGTCAGTAGATAAATGTTTAGGCAGCTGCTGGGCATTACGAGTCACAGGTGACTCGTAGTCTATTTTAATACAGGGCAGCACGAGTCACCTGTTTGTGATAATACAGACGAGGGGTCAGTGCAGTCTAATCATCGGATCTGAGGGATCCGCTCACTTTGTCATTGGATGACTTAATCTTAAAAGAGTGTGAGTGGAAAGTGTGGGGTTGTGCAAGGAGATGTCGCAATAATAGAAGAAGGAGGCCATTAATAAATTCAAAAATCAACAATTTAATAAAATAAAACAAAAATAAGATACAAAATGAATATACACTGGACCTAAGTTCCCTATGTCGTGAGAGAGAGAGTTTATAATCAATTCATATTACCTCATTGGACATTTTCTGTGGAGCCGGCTGGTTGTAGAGTGGAGCAGGATGCTGGATTTTGTTAGCAGGATGAGTAGCAGGAGGAGTAGCACTTGACAAACAGTCGAGAACTCCCTGAGTGAGTGAAAATCTGTCTTTTTATCTAATTTTTTCCCCAATCAGAGCCCGAGAAATACATCAGATGACGGGAAGATCAGGTGTTATCGCTCGGTCCCACCTATCGCGTAAGTTCGGGGTATTACTGTATTTCAGTTTAATAAAGGTATCAATTCACCCATCCATCATATTCTTGAATAAAAAAACGAATAAAATGCAATCTCCCATTAAAAAAGTTTTTTCTAAATTTTCTATCTTAAAATAGGGGTGTGTCTTATACTCGACAGCGACTTATACTCGTCAAAATACAGTAACTAACTAAAAGATGTTTGAGAACCTCTCTCCTAACTCCAATTTGCAATTTTTCAATTTTTTTTTTTTTTTTGAAAATCAAAATTTTTGCAATTTCCACAAGATGGATGAAATATTATCACTTGTATATACCAAACCAAGTTCTCTTTCAGATATGTAAAGAGAATTATTACACAAATATAAACCAGTAAGAACTACAGAACAATCAATTTGGAGACCCAGAATTGATTTTCATGAGTGTCGGTAGTCTCTGGAACTTTGACTCTGACAGAATTATGCACACGATTTTATATTGTGTGGCTGCTTCTAAATTTTTAAGACAACTGCTTCAAGTTACTTGTTAAACATTTTAGGACACAATCTTCAGCATGTGTATCGTATATCATGTATCAAACTGGGACTAAACAAATGACAGTGTAAAGAGCACGCCAGAGAAGCCAAGACCAACATCTGGCGTGTCTATTGCCCAAAGTTGTTTGTTAGACGTTTACTTTCAAAATTAACAGTAAATTGTATATAATTAAATAGAATTATTTATGTATCTCAATTAGTAAATTTTCTGATTCTAAGGATTACTTTTAATTTATAAAACAACTGAATAGATTTTATTGAAAATGTTAAATATTGGCATTTAAGATTTTCCAGAGTAGATCGGATATATGCTAAAGGTGATTAGTTAATTATTAATTATTCTGATCATTAAATTCATTATAAGATAACAAAACAATTAGTCTTTAGTAGCTTACTCTTTAATAATTGAATTGAATTATTGTGAAAAAATTGCTTATAAATTCTGCCTGTTTATTTCGGTTTAAAGTAAATTAAATAAAAAAAAAATACTTTATAATAATTAATAAGATAAATTATTTTCTATTTTAGGCTAAAAAGAGAAGAAAACGGTTGTTTGGAAGAAACTAAAATAGATTATGGCAAAGAAGCCAAGTTAATTTTTGAAATGATAAAGGTATGTTATTAATTTTGACTTTATTGAAAATATAATGTAAAGATTCGCTGCCAATTCTTGGCAGTTTTCCATTTGGCATCTGTTAACCTGGGCATAATTATGAGAGATTGCTTATGCTGAAATTGCTTATGACCTCCAGACTTGTTGACTGTATGGTCACGCATGAAACTATTGTAGCTCATGCTCTTGGATAATCTACACCACGGTTGTTGGTGATCCTCTATTTGGTTTTAGCCAACATTAGTCATCAGCTGTGCATCCTAGTAACACTGTAAAACTGAACTTCTCATGTCCTGTTGTTTTAAATTAAAATTGTTTTCTTCACCTTTCTATGGACAGTTTTATTTCCAACCATATCAAAATTCATTGGAGTTTCATCCATATTCCAATACTACTTAACACATAGCCATGTTTAGTGCACTGTTGTATTATGTATCGATGGAAACTAATTACTTTGCTATCAAGATCTGCAGGTAATTTTTGGGCAATTTTCGTCTTTTGTCTCAGTACCATATTATGCCTTGCCATGAATCTAGTACACCAGGATACAGTGGCCTTAAATCTGTTGCTTTGATCTGGGTTAGATTTGGCCCACTGAAGTGCAAACAAATGTATTTTATTTTGTGTCACTACATAACCATTTTGGTGATGCTCATTCTTCATGTCTGCTACATGTTTTTCGAGTTCTGGCCAATGTGGGGGTGCCTCTTAATGCACACTTACTCCTTGGAATACTCTTTAATGCTTTTCATTTGCTTTCCAGTCCTGAACGATCTTTTCTGTTACTCCATATTGTCTTGCAGCAGTGCAGTTATTATGTTCCATGGCAAGTTTACATCTTTAAGCTTGAAACTGGCTTCATATATCTTTATTCTTGCTGGTGGAGCCATGATGGGGTTTTGACTGTTGGACTTTTTTTATAATGGCCCTCCCTTGTATCCTATTACCATACATCTTTCTCTGCCTCTTAGATCTCACACATGCGCACCTGCCCTGCTTCACTGCAGTCGTCAGGAGTGAGATCTGAGAGGCAGAGAAAGAGGTACGGTAATAGGATACATACAAGGGCAGGCTGGATGGGTGAAAGAAAAGATGCGTGTTTTTCGGGGCACAGTGCCGCTCTATTTCTATCCATACCCTGGGCGTCCTGGCTGACTGCAGGACCCACCCTATAAGACGACACCTGGCATATAAGACAACCCCCGACTTTTGTGAAGATTTTCCTGGGCTAAAAAGTCGTCTTATATGCTGGAAAATATGGTATGTTTAATGTTGCCTTTATTCCCGGGGATTTATTTGATGAAGTAGTATTTTGTTACCATATTCAACATGACAAAAATGCAAAGATTTTCTTGTACTGATAACCGCTTTGGATTATTCAATAAGGCATCAAAAATGCAGAACTTATGTGGTGTGGATTTTCTGCACGGATATACAACACTAACTTATTATCTGTCAACTTGTTTGAACTGTAGAAAAATGATTGTCACTACTTCAAATAGTGAGAGTCAGATTATTTTTGTTTATAATTTGTCAAAATGAATCTTTTTAAAATTCATTCGAAGTGTAAATTGAAAAACTTAAATCTAAGAATTTTTTTCTTTCTTTTTGCAGGATTTGGGAAACTGTGGATATCGGAAAGCCATACTTGCACTTATCGGTTCTGTAAGTATTTCTTTTATTTCTACATAAATATACTTATTTATCAAACAAACTATTTATTGGCAAATCCTTTATTTCCACACAAATTAATTTATTATATAATTCATATAGTTTAAAATATCTGCATTATATACAGTTGTTAATCTGCATTAAAACTCGAGATGGATCTCGATTTATTAAATTAACATGCAATTTTCCTGCTCGAGGCTTTGGAGGGTCTCCCAAACATCAATCCTTGTTCAAATTCCATGAATGTGAATATCCACCTTCCAAATGAAAAATTTGGAGGGTGGATATTCAAATGGTTGGATGTCATTCGATTATTGCATTTACTCATTGATTTTTTTATATGTTTATACAATTGCTTGCTACTTAATGTAACGTTATAATGAAAATCTTTAACTTTTATCTAAAACAAATATTAATATATTTGTTGTTTGTAAAACATTGAGAAAACTCTGTATGGTGCTTAGTAGAGCGAGTTTCTTTGGATAATACAAAAAAAATGTCATGTACTATGAAAATTTCCATAATTAATTCATTATTGTTTCAATATGGTTCATGAAATGAGCACTGTGTGCATATTTATAAATAATGGAATTAAGGAAAATTTTGCTAATTTTCTAAACTTACTATTAACCAATTCTGGTATGAACAAAAATTAAGAAACTAATTCCATTTTATTATTTTTCTTTGCCAGAAAATTAAACGTTTATTCTAAACAATACAAAACTGTTGGTCCTGTTTGACACTAAATGTTCATAGAATTTCTACAGCATTGTCTTTGAAAAACAAATGCATTTATTTTTGTTATTATACATCATAAAATTTTACATCCAAAATCTAATTTATCTATAAAGATAATTTACAGAATTGTTGTCCAATTGTGAATTATTGTGGCATTATAAATGTAAACAAATGGGCATCTTGCTCATGAGAATTTGGCATTTATGGTTTTGTCTTGAAAGCTACGGCATACCAAATTTAATCATTTAAGGTCATCTCTCTATGAAACTTTCTTTGATTTCTTCCTCTCTGTACTTTAAGAATTTTTCCAATTTACGGTTTTAGTTTTTTTTTTAACTTTGGATGTTTATAATTACTTAATTTCCAATTACAGAACAGTAAAACTTTGCCTAATTGGATGAAAAGTCATCAAAATTACGGAAAAGGAAAGTGAGTGTCGTTATGTTCCACATATATCAATAATGTGAGTTTAACACTGGAAATTTCTTTTGTGATTTTCTTTCTTTTTAGGCACAAATCCGAAAACTGGTGGAAGGATTTTTGTAAGTGTTATAATTTTATTGGTAATTTGGATTTATTGTTAAATTTGCAGATCTGAATTCATGACACATCTGCTTTGACACCATTTAATATCTCAGATTTTAAAATTAAAAACTTATTTATATGTTAGAAAAAGGTTTTACAAAATTACCTTTTACTTATTGCAGTTTATAGTCAATTTGATCTCTAAACATTAAATTATCTTTCCGCAGACCAAGCTCTGATAATGGATAGTTACATCAATCAACATGCCAACCGCATACCCGGAAAAAAGGTGGTCTATTACACGCTGACCCTGTCGCAGAAGGCCGAGTCTTGGCTGAAAAACTGTTCCAACTCCACACCTTCCCTGTTGATAGAACCTTTTTCCAAATTACTTAAAGTTCGTCCCAGAAGTGAAGTCGTCAAAACCTTAGAGAAGACAGAAAGGTAAGTAGAAAGTTTAGTTAATCAGTTACAACTTGTGAGGATTGATGACAGTTCTGAATTTACATTGGACACGAGCAGTTTCTGTGCATACTCGATGATTTAAAATATATCATCGCCACTTTTTCGAAAGGTAGGCATATTCGGGTCCAAATAAATTCAATGCCAATCAAACATGAACTTCATTAATAGACCCTCCAGTAAATCTAGTTATTTGATTTTCACTTTCAATTTTAGACTTTCTAGTACAGAATTTATGGTATCTCTTACTATAGTCCATGCAGACCTCTTGTTTATTTTTTTTTTATGGATTATTAGCTAGATACATTTAGTATGAATACCTAACTACTAGGTATTCAGGCTTTAAGCGGGTTAGATATTCAGTTATTAACTAAATTTGAGCTTAATTCTTTCAGGTGTGTATAAATTTAATGTGTGTATCTTAACTTTTGTGATTGTTAAGAGAAACACAAAAAGTTAAAACTTTTCATTTATAATTTTGTCAATTTTCTGAGCTTAAAATTAGCCGTTTTCTGTTCACTACCTTTGATCCCCACATAACAGTCGAGAACAGACGACGATCGTTTTATCTTATTTCCAATCTTTTATTACAGACCAGCAGAACAAATAGATCGCGTGTTGTTTTGAAATACATTACGCATTGCGTTGTTTGTTAATTATGCCATTGATATGACAACCAGTACTTAGTGATAGCTTGAGCAACGTACAGGTAAATGCAAAGTATCAAAACTGCTAATTGAATCGTCAAGCAAAACTGGTAGACCATGAATTATATGGTGTTATTCAAAACAATGTTCCCATTTCAGGGATTTATCAGAGGAAGTAAGTGGAAGATACTTCTTGTCTAACTCCTTCATTGTTCAAACACCTCTGCTCCACAGAGCACCGCAGAGGTCAGAAGGTACCGTACATTGAAAACAATAAAATTATGTACAAAAGATTACATAAATTACTATCAATGAGACAAATAGTACACACTTATTATAATGCACCATCTTACTACTACTTTCATTCTTGAATACAACAATGAATTATACAATACCGAACTAAATACTAAAATATAAATTATTAAGAAGAGTACAGCAAATATTACAGAGAAATTACAATACATAAGATAACAAAAAATGTAAATTACCCTACATATTCAAGCAGTTTATATACATATTTACAAAGAAGTCTCTGTAACTTTGGGAAAAATGATGCTGTTTTCAATGCAAAATCCAAGATTACAGTCTGAAGAATAGACTTGCATAATGCAGCCGCAAAAGACATGGGATGTCGACACACTGACAGGCATCCAATTGGAAGATACAATCAACAGATGCAAATTCCCACATCGGTAATCTGTCCGAGATTCATTTGTATCGTGTCGTGCACTACCTCTTGATTTCATCCCATGGTGCATTAAATGCAAAATGGCATTTGTCTGTATTAAAAACACCAAATTTTTGAAACTGGAGGCTTTTTTTAAAATGATTTATTAATGTGCCATTGTTTTTGCACCCGGGTAGATGTTATTTGATTATCTGTGGAAGAACTTCATGGAGAGACATTCTTACCACCTGTAGCCAAATAACAATTTAACAGCACAATGGGCAAACTTAAATTGATTTTGTCATAATAGTTATAACTATTAAGTGTTTTGTTTTTCTTTCAAAACAAAGATTAATGGGGAATTCCTAAAAATGAGTTTGCAGTTCAATGACTAATGCCGCCGTTATTATTTTAAAGCAGAATTGCAAGGAAAACTGAACTTCCCATACTTTCAACTTACACCACAGAGAAAAATGAAGAGAATGTCGTCCCGTTGGATCCCAGGGAAGAGGAACTGAAGGTGAGTCTGCTATCTCAACCGAACTCGTGAATTTCTTTTGTTGCAGCTTCAATGGTTTCGAAATTTCTAAAACCGAATTTAAAACATTACCGGAATTGAACTTTGGGCTATCTCGTACGTTTTGTGGCCCCTGGACTATTTTCGAATAAGTGCATAAGTGTTTAACCAGCATTTTTATCTGTTAAATGTTTCGTGTAAGGGAGCAAATTTCTGTTTTGTCGCATTCCAGAATTCAGGTGGAAAATTTTTTATTTTAGCCAAAGGAGTGCGAATTACAAAAGCAGGCAACAAAGATTGCACTAACGCTCGCACCTTGCAGTCTCAAGTATGGATAAAGAAATCTATTTGGCGGATTTGAGCTTTGTTCCGGTGGTAATTTTCTGGGTCTCATTGCTCCACCTCTTAGTCAAAAAGACAACCTGAAGACTGTCCGGGAAAAAATGTATATTAACTTTCATAAGAACTTTTAACACGATCAGTTACCTAACAAGGAGCAAATTTACCCCTCGATAGATACATAAAGATCCCGTCATGATTAAGATATGTTGTTTTTGTATTTTCAGGGAACATTGTACAAGAATCTAATGCAATTAAGAAACGAAATCGCCAACGAGGAGAAAATCGCCCCCTACATGGTGTTCAGCAACAAAAATTTATTGGACTGCGTCCTGCACCGGCCCACTTCCCTGCAGAATCTGGCAAGACTGGAAGACGTCGCAGATTCGCGGGTGAAAAAATTTGGTGGGAGAATAGTGGATTTCGTGTCCGACTTTTGCTCCAAAAACCAACTGGAAGGCGACGTGTTTCCCGAAGACACCAAATCTGTGGTAAACTATTCGAGCGTAAGTATTGTGACATTTTACGTTGGAACTTACGGAAATTCTTTCTTATTTTGTACGTAACACGAGATTTAACACGCAATAATACAGTATGATAGTTTTTCAAATACAATTTACTTCTCAGATGGACGACAGACATCTGGACAAATTGGAACAACTGTCGCAGACAGAAGCCACGTCTTACACAATGTTCGAAATCGAGGGTAAAGACCTGATGGAAATAAAACTCGCCAGGAGTCTGGCTCCCTCCACCATAATGAACCACCTGCAGAAGGCCATCAAAGTCGGTCTCCCGCTGAACATGCAACGTCTAGGCATCACCACCGAAATGAGAGAGTTGATCGAGAAGGTGGTGTTTTCGTCACCGATAAATGGCAGTGGGTGTTGTTTTCTTCTTAAATTTCTGTATAATTACCATGTCAAAATGTTCTAATGATTGTTTTTCAGACATCAGCCGCATAACGCCGATTAAAGATCTGTTGCCAGAGCATGTGGGATTTGATCACATCAAATTGGTCCTGGCCTTCTTAGAATGCAAATACGGGATAAAAGAGGGCATCGTAAATTTGCCACCCGAAGAGTCCGTCGGTCAGGTATGACGCGTTTTGACACCAATTTGCCCTAACCACACTTTAAGAATTTGTCGAAATATATGGGCGTGACGTGCATGGTAAACACGCCGCAAGCAATGCGAGGAGGCAGATAACTGTTTTGGACCCAGGCCGGTTCTGGCAACCTAGTGGCACAATAGGGAGTTGTTCAGGAAAGTACTCTGAGCCAGGTCGCGGCTTCCTCACAATGCTACAGGATCATAATCTGTTAAATTTTATAACGGAAATGACGTTAAAAGACGCGTCCAGGAACCCTTTCCTGGCTGTTTTTCATTCAACGTAATTAATGACGGAAAGTGCCGGATGGTAGTGCCAGTCACTAATTAGAACACGGTGAATTGTTAATGTGACCTGACAGATTCCGCGACTAATCTTCTCGTACATTTCTACAAATTTGAAAGTTTTTTTTTCACTTTCATTTGCAGTCCGAACCGAGCGAAGAAACTCCGGAAAGTTTGCCAAAGAACGAAGGAAAGAGAAAACATCCCCAGTCACCCGTTTCTTTTTCGCGTGTGGGCAGACACAAGAAAAATAACACTCTGTTTAATTTGTAAAATGGAATTGGAGCAGCGAGTTTTGTTGGACGCTCATCGCTTCCATTTTACCACCTGCAAACAATTTTTTCATGTAATTTCCCAGATGGAACATGTCGGAAATATGTAGCAGGGCTACGAGAATTATTGTAAAAAGGTGTGTAAATATTTTTCGTACATATAAATACATTTTTATATTCTTAAGAAACTTTATCGAGTTTTTGAGAGGGAGGAAAGGCCGCATTACTAATTCGGACAACGGCGGCGGGTTTGAGCGATTTAATATAACATAACACGCACATGAACATGTAAATTAAAAAGTAACAATGGTAGAACTTTATTAAAAACGAGATTTGCTAGAGATGTGACTACGAAATTTATCTCAAACTGCTTCTGAAGCATCGTCTGTGAATAAAGATGTCAATGCGACTTGTACAGTTGATTTTAAAACAACTTTTTAAAGTTAAAAACAAATTACGAACATTTTGATATACAATTCGATGCCGTTACAACCGCGGTAAGTACAGTTCAATATTCCGAACAGCCACGTACCAAAAATTGCTCAGTAACAAAAGACGTGGGTAGTTTGAATTTCATACTTTGGTAGCGATTGCAACAGTTATTTGTAATAAGTCTTGTATAAAACCCATTGTTTCATTAATAAACATGAAAGTATCGTCGTCCTCTTATATAAAAGTATTGTATAAATATTTTTTGCGAGAATGAAAGTGGGTAAGTGCAGGGTAGTTTGAATTAAACTGATGGGAGCTGTCTCTACTGAACGGTATCGAATGAAACTATATATATACGGAATTTACGTCATAGGAGAGATTTAATGGGAGAAAAACTAAGTTGTAATGTTCTTTACCAGAGAACAATGTGGTCCTGTTCAGTGGAAAACGTTTCTGGCTGCGGGTTATTTCAGTGATCGTGTTTATCAGGGGCGTGTGCACTCCGAGATGGAGCTAAGGGTCATAGTGCAACTGTTTCCGAGATTCATTCTGTGTGGCAGTTAGATAATGCGGTATTACATTGAGACAGAGAAGGATCCCACGTTGAGCACGTACTGTAAATGTGTAAAATATAATTTTATTGTAACAATATTTTTCCATTTCTCTATATCCTTCTTGGAGCGGCACATTTTCATTTGGTGGAAAATATTTTAACTAATTTTTTATCTCCTTGTAAATCTTTTTTTCCGTGGACTGCATTGCATGTATACCGAGTTTCATTCGATTCGGATTAGTAGAGTCGACAACACACGTCTGACTATCATGAGTATAGTTCTAACCACCCTGTGTTTCGTTTTTATATATAACTAGCTACAAGGACCCTCTTTGCTGGGTTTTTATTTGTTCGTACATTTATATGTAATATAGTTTTATATATATATATAAAACTATATTACATATAAATAATATAATAAAACAGTCTTATATATATATAAGACTGTTTTTCTAAGTAATCTAGCTGCAAGGACCTGCTTCACTGGGCAAAAAGTAACGATAGTGAAGATTAAGATAATTACATAGTGCACAAATGGACACTTGGGGCTACTACCACATACAAACACCATTCATGTGTGATGTGTAGTTTTGACTGAAAAGTGAAATATAGGGACACACACGTCCATTTATATATATATAGATATATATAGATGTAGTATTTAACGTGTACATTTTAGTTTTGAATGAAGTAATTGTGAAAGCTAAAGAGGTGTAAATCAGTTTTTCCGGAAAGCTACCGATGCTGCTGTTTCAGTTCCTGGCACATCTATGTATAAAAATGAGGATTATTTGTTTTTACAAATTAGAAATGTTTTAATATTATACAAATTAACTGATACATTTAAAACTACAAACAACAGAATAATAAGTCGACTGAAGAAAGGTACCACAGATCCAAAACATGCATCGACCAATGAATAAATAAAGAATAAATCGCCTTGTGTCTAATTAATCACACTTTATCGTGCTAAAGAAAGAAGAAATGTATGCTTGGACGTTTGTTCGCTATGCACACGTAGGCCGTTGGACCAATTGCTACGAAATTCGGCAGTTACTGACACTTCTGACTTAGATAATGTAAAACCCATCGAAAAATATCGATTGCATTTCAATATATTGATTAATTTCTGTCTGTATTTATTTCCTGTTTTTACGTGTAGCGTCATGTATTGGCAAAACACGTAGAAAATAATCAAACTATATATAATTCTCACATAATCACGTTTTGCAACCTACAAAATCATATTAATTAATAATGCTGTGTAAGATATATATTAAAAATTACCTTTCAATTACGTATACATTTTCACAAATATAAAGAATTTATCAAAGTTTGCTAGAAACTGCATACAACAACGACGACAACAGCAACAACAACAAAAGTTTCTTTGGAAAAATAATGAACTTAGATTTAATTATGCTTTCTATTTGCAAAATTTCCTCAACCTCAATTACATGAGCGATAACACTTTCTAAATAACTGGCTGGTTACATTGTAATTTTCGATTGAATATCAGAACGTCACACGGTCACTGTGCAATGATTATCTGAAGAAGTGACCCGATGCGACCATCGTTATCAAAGTTTAAATTTAATGAATTTTAAAATACGCCCTTTACCGAAATATGTAAAAATGTAACTTGAGGGAAATTCCCTTGTCGAGAATAAATGTGAAGTGGTCACTGACGTTAATGGTCGAAAGAATAGTGCGATCACCAATCCTAAATGGATAATATGTTCATTTAATAGCTAATATTTTTTCGCAAAATATGTACCTTATACTTTTCTTCAAAACATGATACAAATATAACCAAAATTTCATTTGGATTGGACAAAATTTGAAGGAGTTATAAGGATTTTGGAACACAATCTTTGGCTATATCTTGGGCTACTGCTGTATTTTTTTGTTGGTGTATGTTTTAGCTAACAGCAATGGCACTTTTGTGTTGTTTTTCTGCAGATTGTGTGTCTTGCTGAATGGAACGTTTTTGATACTAGTATAACTTATAAAGTATATATATTTTTTGTTTTTATACTTTTTAATATATTTATTTGGTTTGTACAAAATAAAGAAATATTTTTAACGATACAATATCCACAATTATTATTGTAAAAATTTTCGTTAGGCTTAACATCGACGAAAATTCAACGCGAAGCGACACGCAACGGAGAAAAATTCCAACATGGGATAGGTTTAACCCACAGTTAAGCGCGACACCTAGCTCTCGCGAAGTGTGGCGCATGGGGACATTAGTTCCCCTTTTTCAAAAATCAATTTTGTAAAAGTTTATAGTTTTTTCGTGATTTTTTTCATGTTAGATGTTTGTGAGAATGTGTTTTTGATGTATTAATCAACAAAACTACTCGAAAGATATCGTTTTTATTTATTACTAAGGAAAACAAAAAGACTTGGGTTTTTAGGAATTTTTCAGGAAAAAATCGTCAAATTCAAAAGTGTATTTTACAAACTGTAAACAAGTCTGTTGCTATCTACGCTCTGAATCGCTTTCCTGTGTGTGCTTTTTAACTGCCACAACCATTAAATTCTTTGTACCAAACTACGGGCCAAAAATATTTCAGTATTTCCAAAAATACACCCCCTGTAAAATTTTACAGCAACTAGAGGTAAAAATGCAAATTATTGGCAGATAACATCGATAGTAAACTTCCTTTACACTGTAATTGGTTAATTTGTTTGTCTGTTATTAGATCCACGTGTAAAAACAATTGCCGAAAAAATTCCCGCGTAATGCCACGCTCCCGCAGGCTACCACTTCGAATTATGTAAACAATCACTATAAAATCGCGTGTTTTAATCGTTTTTTTTTTTTAAATTTCTAATTTGCTAACGAAAAGTTGTTTGATAGTATTTAGACGAATAAACATGTTTTCAAAACGATTTAGCAATAAATATTCCCGAGAAACTCCACCTTTCAAGTTTTCAATGCTAAGTCTATGGGAGACCTTTCTGCCGTTAATTGGTTTTGAAAATTTTGTTTTTATGTCTTTTATTCTCTAGTTGGTCATTTTTATCATGACTAAGTCGAAATCGACCAATGAGCGTTCTTTCAAAACCGTAACTCGGATCCATCCGCTTGGTTATTCATGCTAATAAAACTTTCTCTGTTAGGAGCGCACGGTAGATATGTTACCCCTGCATTTCGGTGTGGCTTCATGTGAAAATTTTTTTCGTACATAATCGGTTATCCGAGAAATAAGTACAAAAAATAGGACTATGAATAAAAGCCAATTTTAACTTCATAAGATTAATGAAATAACTACAGCGTTACTCCTTAAATTTATACTACTTAACTAGACAATTTATACGTCCATATTTATTATTTTCGAACTAAATTTGCACAAATGTTGCTCTATAGAACAACATAGACATAATTGCTGAGATTTTAAAAGTATTCAACCCATCGCAAACTTTTCAATAGAATATTGAACAAATGTTAGAATATAATTTCGTCCAATGCAAAAGAATGTACGATGTTGCAACTAGGGATTGCAATTGCTGGATCCCTCATCCAGCAATCCAGCTGGATCCAGCGCATTCTTCAGCCTGCTGGATCCGCAAATACTCAATTAACTTTCTAAATAATGATGCAAAAGTCTACGATGTCAGCGTTGCCGCTTTGCTAAGTGCGCTATCGCTCGGCGGCGAGAGCGACGTTGCCATTCAGTGCAGCACGTGCTACACTCCCTCTCTACACTGCACCACCTGTCTTTTTACCTCTGCTGATTTAATTCACAGTTGACTTTTCGCTCTCGCTAAATAAAGTGTCTTCGCGCTAATTAAAATAAGTAACTCCTCTTTTAGTCTTGGTGCATAATTCTAATTTACGGTCGGTTGTGACGTCAATGAATCACGTGACGGAACGCCGCTTCAGCTGCGAGACACCGGCACTTTTTCGACCTTTTTGCCTGAATAAACTCGGTGCGCAATAAAAACATCATTGATTGCATTTTTCGCAGCTCGAAGAAATTAGAGAATTTGAATTTTTTAAAATTTTTTGAAAAATTTCGGAAAACTTCCAACTAAAAAAATGCCAGGGAGCGTCTGTGACACGCCACATGATCTTAAATGAAAATTGAATCACTTACCACAAAAACGGTTCTAATGATTTGGATCAAACTTGGTTAGTTTAGTGCTGCTTCAGCTCCTTGGCAATAAAATTTATTAGGTATGTTGTATGTATGTTTATAAATCAAAATTTTTAAATTTATTTTTTCAGATATCAAGCCAGTTCAGTCAGTTCACAGTTACATAATAATAATATAACTACAATTCGAATTCGTACTGAATAATGTCTCTTACAAAGCCAAGTCAGCAAGAGAAATGTGGTGAGAATGATGATAAAAAAAACTTGTGGGACTATAGTATCTACATCAAAAAAATTTCGATGATCAGGAAGTAGGTATTATACTGAACAAAAAGACTAAGAAGAGTATTTATGCCTATTTTGTAAAAGAAAATTCGATGGAAGCCATGGTTACAAGGATGGTGTGCAAAATTGGTTTTACACTGAGTTCATTTTGTACATCTTCCGATTTAAGACGTTTGTTCGCAAAAAATGGCTTCCAATTGCCAACTTCTCCCAACACCATAAGGTCGATGATTACCAATTATGCTAAAACTATCGAAGCGGATTTAATAAAAAAAATTCGCAAATTTAAAAGAAAAGGGTCGAAGATTTTCGTTAAGCTTTGATGAGTGGACATCACAAAAAAATCATAGATACATAAATCTCAGCGTGCA